GTTCCTCAACCTTGGCAACTTTAAGATGGGTGGACTTAAGATGGGTGGACCTTGCTGGCTGGGAAATTCTGGAAGTTGAAGTCCACCCATCTTAAAGTTGCCAAGGTTGAAGAACCCTGCCATAATGGACCTTGCTCAAAACTATCCACTTTTTCAGGAGAGCTGGAATGGAATCTCCATAGCACGTGGTCCAGAATGCGACTAGTAGAGTTCGCCATTGTTGAAATCTGAAGAGCCTGATGGAGTTCTATTTCCCGGTGCTCCATAACCATCATCTCTTTCAGTGGCAGTTGATCTATGTTAGGTTGGTGGGGAGGGCGAAGTTCTCCAAGAGTCCATGTGTGAAGAACTGCCCCCTGGGAGCATCTAAGTTTGCTTCTTTTCCTCAACTCCGCAAGTCAGACAAACAACTAGCATTTTATTAATTATTGTAAAGACTGATTTTCTTTTTTAAAAAACCATAATACAACTGAAAAAGAATAAAGATAATAATAAAAAATGGAAAAAAGAGAAAGAAAAAGGAAAGGAAAGGAACGGAAGGAAGGAAGGAAGGAAGGAAGGAAGGAAGGAAGGAAGGAAGGAAGGAAGGAAGGAAGGACTATATAATACGTCCCATTGAAGAGTATTATTTTGTATTATCTGTAGGACCAACTGTCCCCAGTGATTTCTGCCTGTCCAACCAGATCGGGCAGAGTGAGCATGATCCAGGTCTCCTTGGTGAAGCAGTGTCACCTGGTGGGACCTTAAAAGCATGCCATCTCTATCATGGCACCTGCCTTCCCTTGGCGATTTGGATGGTCCTGACCCTGTTGGCCTTCTGGAAGGTGGCAGAGACCTGGCTTTTCCCCCGGGGCGCTGGGGTCAGGATGTTAATGGAGCCCCTTGCGTGTCTGTAGGAAATGTGGATAAGGTGTCTTATCATTCGATTTGTCCTTTCAATTAATTCTGCATTATTGATTGCGTATTATGCTTTATGCTTGCCTCCCTCCCCGAGTTCCAGTGGTGGCTATATAACGGTGGGAAGCAAACTGGCGAATAATTATGATACAGCAAGCTCAGCCCATTAACTCCAGTGACCCTCGGCTCACGAAAGCTCCTGCCGTTGGATTGAACGAGCCAGACGCCTTCTCGCGATGGGGGGCTGCCTTGCCTTTGACCTGCCCCGGCTTCTTCCCGAGGCCCATCCCGTCACCTCGGGGAGGAAGGCGCTGTTCTCTCCCCGGTTCCCCAGACCTTGCTCTGCTTCATTCTATGGCTCGAGCCATCGTCCCCTCCGAGTTTGCCCGGCCAGGGGGCACGGCGCTCCTTTTCTGTCCAGCTGCATGACGGATGCTCCCTCTTTGTCAGCGCACTTCATCAAGGCAATTGAAGAGCTGCGCAAGACAGCCCCTGGCGAAGCGAAGCGGAGGCACCTTGCCCAGAACCCTCTTGGCCAGAAAGAGAGCGAGGGAAGGACCACGCCTTGGGCTCCAAGGAGAAGGGGGGGGCCGGATTTGGCACCGAGAAGCCCACTTTCTGCCCTCTTGCATTGACTTGGCTTGGCCACTTACCAGCAGAGGAAAAACAATTCAGCTGTTGTGGAATTTTGCAAGCAAATGTGATTATTTCTGTGCTCAGCGGCAGCGTTTGCCAGTTCTGCTCGTCTGCCAGAGGGAGGGATTAACTGTGTGGTATTTTCATGTTGGGGCATTCTGAGAAAATAACAACAACCGCCACAGCATTAATAATATCAGTACTTCATTGCCCAAAGCATCATAGCATCACAGAATCATAAAATCATACAATCGTAGAATCGTAGAATCACAGAATCACAAAATCATACAATCATAGAAAAACAGAATCATAAAATCACAGAATCACAAAATCACAGAATCATAGAAACACAGAATCATAAAATCACAGAATCATAGAATCACAAAATCATAAAATCACAGAATCACAAAATCACAGAATCACAGAATCATAAAATCACAGAATCATACAATCGTAGAATCATAGAATCACAAAATCACAGAATCATAGAAATACAGAATCATAAAATCACAGAATCACAAAATCGTAAAATCACAGAATCATAAAATCATGGAATCACAGAATCACAGACCCATAAGACTGGAAGGGACCTTGGAGGTCTTCTAGTCCAGCTCCCTGCCTGGGCAGGAATCCTCAAACATGCCAGACAAATGGTTGTCCATCCTTGGCTTGCAAAAATATTTAGACAAAGAAACAACCCCAAAACAGCACAACCCAAGAAACAAAGATGGCAGAGAAAACAAACCTGGCGGGAAACAAGGACAGGAAGAAAGGGGCATCGATCCTCCTTGCCAAAGCTTGGCGTTCAGGGCAGCCCCTGCTCTTGCGACCTTCAGAAAGTTGGCCTTGCCCTGGTGCTCTGGGAGAGCCTTCAGAGACGGACAGCTTGGGGCTGACTGTTGTTTTTATTCAAGCATCATTTAGACCAGGGTTCCTCAACCTTGGCAACTTTAAGACAGGTGGACTTCAACTCCCAGGCTGGCTGGGGAATTC